CTACCACTCCCACCATCACTCCCACCATCACTACCACCACCACCACCACCACGATCTCCCGTCGAACGATCGTTTCATCGTTTTCATGATAGGGTTTGGGAACTTGATGAGTAAAAAAAAAAAAAAAAACAAAAGTTTGAACTTGAAAAAGTTGGAACTTGGCCACTTTTTTCGACTTTTTCAAAATTCTGTCTGAGATTTGTCGGATTTCAAATTTTCCCGGGGCGTACGATAATTTTGCGCCCCTGTGTCCATCAAACGAACTAAAGTCTCTGGGATCACTGCGTCAAGCCAATGTTGGTACTGATAGGGTTGACAACACTGATAAAGAGTAATGCTAGTAAGTTTATTTTTGACTTGCCATATACATGGAATGTGAATAAATAAATAAATAAATAAATAAATAAATAAATAAATAAAATATAATTAATAGAATATTGTTTTATCGTCAAAAGAAATAGATAAGTAAAATATAAAGTATGGGTGAACGTTATAATATACATAGCCAGTTGGAACATTTGCAATCTAAATATATTGGAACTGGACACGCAGATACAACTAAATTCGAGTGGCTTGTGAATCAACATCGGGATTCCTGTAGTTCTTATATGGGACATTACGATTTATTAAATTTCTTTGCAATCGCTGAAAACGAAACGAAAGCACGTGTGCGATTTAATCTTATGGAGAAAATGCTACAACCTTGTGGTCCTCCTCCAGAAAAACCAGAAGATTAACCGTAAGAAATCGTTATTTCTATATTTACTAAAATAGAGGTTATATCAAATATAAATATAATTTATCATCAAATATCATATTGCAATATTATTTTTTAATATGCTCTTTTTTTGTTTTAGGATTTTGATAATAAGATTGTACTTAAGTTTTCAATAATACATTCTTAAGTAATAATACATAAATATTAGACATTTAAGTGTCTTTTTTTTTTTTTTTTAAATAAATACTATTAATTATTAAATATATGTAACACGTACATTTTGATTACTTATAAAAGTAATTTTGTATATAGAATTATTTGATATATCAATCAATTTACAAAATTTCAATAAACACGCAATTTAAAATGCCTGTAAAATGTACTAGAAATTGTGGCAATAATGCTATTCTTAAAGTAAGTATAATGAATGATTCAGTTATACGATAAAAGTTTCTATTTTAATATTAATATATATATATATACTTTTTATTACAGAGACCTAAGACTGGTGATACATTATGCAAAGAATGTTTTATCTATGCCTTTGAAACTGAAATACATGACACCATTGTAAAAGGAAAATTATTTAAACCTGGATATAAGGTAGCTATAGGAGCATCTGGTGGAAAAGATTCGACAGTATTAGCATACGTGTTGAAAACTTTGAATGAACGTTATAATTATGGACTTCAATTATTCCTTTTATCCATTGATGAAGGAATTACAGGTAAATTGATAAAATGTTGTATTAAAAAATACAAATAGTAAAATAAAAATCAATTTTGATTGATTTAATATCTCTCTCACTCTCTCTATATATATATATATATATATATATATATATATATATTATTTCTAGGATATCGAGATGATAGTTTGGAAACTGTAGAGAAAAATAAAGATGATTACAATATACCTTTAAAAATATTGTCTTACAAAGATATATATGGATGGACAATGGATGATATAGTAAAACAAGTAAGACAAACATTTATCATTTGTAACATTCAATGAAATATTAACATATCTTTCTTGTTTGTTTAAAATCAATTGCAGATTGGAAGAAAAAATAATTGTACCTTCTGCGGTGTATTTCGTAGACAGGCATTAGATAGAGGAGGAGCATTATTAGGTGTCAATTGTATTGCTACGGGTCATAATGCAGATGATATAGCTGAAACAGTTTTAATGAATATTCTACGTGGCGACATTGCCAGATTGAAAAGATGTACCGCTATAATAACGGTTAGATGATTTGTAATTTTTATTGTTCTAATTAATGCCTAATTCAAGCATGACACAAGTTCTGCTAAGTTTGGTTTACTTAATATTTGTACTTTTTATTATAGTCGGGAGGAGATACTATTTTTAGATGCAAACCATTAAAATATGCTTATGAAAAAGAGATTGTTATGTATGCACATTTTCAAAAATTAGTTTACTTTTCTACCGAATGCATATATGCTCCTAACGCTTATCGAGGACATGCTCGAACGTTTCTAAAAGATTTGGAGAAAGTGAGACCAACGTCTATCATAGATATCATTCATTCCGGTGTGTATAAATAATATATTTATATTTATTATACCAGAAAAGAACAATTTACATAATAATAACCAAAGTTAATAGTAATAGTAAATCCTACAAGAGGTAAACATAGTTATCTGTACATAGGCTGGTGATACATACTTAAATTACTAATACTTTTAAAACTAAAAAAATATAAGTACATTGAAATAACATTAATAAACTTTAGAATAATTGTCAACAGTGATATATCGGTATTTAGTTAAACAATATCATGACATATTACATTTTTTAATTTACGTTTGATAGTATAAACAATAGTATAATTAATTGAAAATAATGATTTTTCATGACTTGTTATTAATTTTAGGTGAACGAATGCAAGTAAAGAGCAGTGTGAAAAATCAAGAACAAAGAAACTGTACTATTTGTGGATTTGTTTCAAGTCAGGAAATATGTAAGGCATGTATATTATTAGAAGGTTTAAATAGGGGACTTCCTAAATTGGGAATTGGTAAATCTAATAAAGTTAAAAATATATTAAATGCAAATACGAGTGAAAATGCTAAAAGTAAAGATGTATCTTCAAGCAAAATTGCAATAGATTTTTAATATAAATTTAAAATATGTTAAAGTGTGTGTGTGTTTCTTTTGTGTAATTAAAATGTACATTTTTACTGTTCTTTTTCTATAATAATACATTACCACTACTATGTTTTTTTATTCCATATTATTTAATTATTATATACGAAATTCCTTACTTCTTTGTAATATTTCGAATCTCGATGGAATGAAAATTTGTAAGAACGATTTTAATGTTGTAACGATTTTATAAATGCTGTACAATTTTCTTCTGTAGGTAAACACTGTCCAAAAGCTTCCAAAAGCAATGGTTCTTTTTTAACAGCCGTATCGTAATCTTCAAATGATATTTTTCCATCGCGATCGACATCCAATTTTTTCAATGCCAATTCTGATAAATCTCGTATACCTTCATCCGGATCTTCTTCTCCTGGTTGTTTTATCAAACAATTTCTTAAAAATAAAATATCATTTGAAGAAGTTTAACAAATATTTCTATGCCTACTATATAGAAATAAGATAAAAGAACATCAATGTCTCGACGAAAGAAAATTTTATTGGAGACTACCACGATCATATATTAGGTCGAGGAGTCATAAGTAACTTCTTTCTCCATGTCTATCTATCTATGTAGAATCTATTTTTCGTATTTACCTACTATAAGTCACCGAAACAAACTGATTTTCGATATCACTGTATAGAGTGGTGAGTATGAGGATTCAGTTAGTCAATGTTACATTTAACCGTTTTTCTTAACCACTCAAATGGATAATAGTAAAAAGTGCATATTCGACATGTAATGCTTTAAGAATTGAAACAAGGCAATAGCACTAAAGTGGCAACTGAAAAAATCTGCAGCGTATACAGTGCAGGCCTGATAACTGATAGAGCAGTCAGAAATTGGTTTGTGAAATTCCGTTCTCAAGATACGATCTTAAAAGATGAACCGAGTGCAGCGACGTATTTCCGACTTTGATAAACCTTTTAAACGTAATATTGGAGCAAAATCCAATAGATACGTTGAACAATTGCAACGAGTGCAAAAAAAAGTCCATGAAAGGTGTCTTCGCCATTCTTTGTCTCATCAAAAACAGAAGTTATTTATGACTTGACCTAATATATATATATATATATATTAGGGTGGGTCAAAAAAACGACTTTTTTTTTTTTCAAGTGCCACGCAAAAATGGGTTCCTAGACACCTTAAAAGAATTCTCACCCAATATGAGCTCTTAATTTTAATAGGAAGATCCTCCGCATCGCAGTTTTTTATTTTTTTTTTCAGTTCAATAGATTAAAATTCATACCTCATTATTTATTGATTGTACAGAAAAATGTTCAAGACGAATTTTGTAGGAAATTTAATG